GTAGTTAAGGACTGCCCTGCTGTTAAAGATTTCATGGAGAGATGGCCAGCCCTTTTCTGTGAATCTGAGGTAAACTTCACTTCTTTTCTTTGTTGGCATAATATGCAGTGATTTCAAATATAAATTTTTTGAAGTGCAATACAAAAATTTACCAGTGCACTCAACTCTAATCATCACTTGATTGTGTTACATTTTATTTTCTGTTTTAGATCAAGAATGAATTTAGAAGAATCACCACAATTTCCTTGGAGCGTACATTCTTGGAAAAGCTGGACTTCTATACTCCAAAACTCCTGGCTTTGTTTGAGATGAAGGGTGGGGTTGCTGGCATAAGAATTAGACATTTGCTGGATTCACTCAGCCAGGTAAAATGTAAATTTTGTTTACAATTGTGAATCACTTATGGGATGGTATGCTGCTTCCTGACTCTGTAAATATGTTGTTATATGTAGATGTATACACATTTAATGTTCGCTGCATTTTACTTCTGTTTTTAACAGCAAGAAGATAGGCTTGAAGATAGGCGAGACGTTGTGATTCGCTGCCTCCTGTCTTTCCTTGGAGAATCAGCTGAGGAGCTCATTGAAGACCACCAGGTATTACAGTTCAATTAAATTCAAATTTATTTGTATAGTACTTTTTACAGTGTACAATGTTACAAGGCAGCTTTACAAAACACACATTGTTGAATGATCAATAAATTGAAACAAATCAAAGAAAAAGTAATAATCAATTATTAGTCTAGTGCTGACTTTGTTTGAAGTCCTTACATGGCCTGGCGTCGTCAAGTCTTGGGTCATCTAACGTCATACTGGGAGGCGGGGTCCAGACATGGATATACAATAATTAGTGTAGCAGCTAGCAGTTAGCTAGCTACATACACAGCTACATCCATTTCTATTTTTCCTTGATTTTTGGATGTAGACAGTAGTGGTTTGACTGATATACTGTATTTGTTTTCTGCATATTTGAACCCTGTCAAGCACTGACGATGATGCTGAGATCCATGTTTTTATACTGAGGAAAATTGAAAGGCTTATACACCATTGTTACAAAACTTATAGAACACCCAGTGATGGTCAAGAAGGCAGCACCATACATTTAAATGTCAGGTGTATGTAAAATTTTAGACAGGATTTCCAGTGTAAATTGTTATTTTGTATATATTTCTTATCTTTCATTTATATATTGTCTATAGAAACCATTCAAATGTTTCCCAAAAGACATAATAATTTACACTAATTATCATTTCCAGAGGTTTACACCCTCCTGACTCTAAATGTACAGTGTTATCTTTATTAGCATCACTAAATGTTTCTATCTACTGTAATAATTGTGTATGAGTCTCATTATTGTGTTCAATGTAAAAGTATTACTTAACAGCATACAGATACTGCTGAAGAAACTGCATATTGGGTTTAAATATGCAGAAAATGCTAAATATACTGAAGACTAGTGGACAGTTTGTCTCAGAACAGGAACCCATTGAGGAAAATTGAAAAAGTGATACTGTACAGTATTTTAACCACTTTGCACTGATTTGTGTATTTCACAGGATGTCAGCAGAGACATGATTAAGGATACCTTCGCCAGTCATGTCATGAAAATCATCGTCCTGAGCAGATCTGTAGAAGAGGAAGATGCCAGTAGATCTGATGTCATCATTGTCATCGAGGGAACTGAGGTGCTGCTGGGATGTAAAAATCTCACAAATGCATGTCTTTCACTCATGGGCTGCATTTACTCCCTAAACCTAAGCTATCCCCCAAAGCTGAGAAACACATTTGAAGTGTTTCAGAAAATCTTTCTTGGCCTAGATGCTTTAAAATTCTCTCCAAAGGTTAACTCTTTGCATAGAAAGCTTCTAATGTAATCTGCTAGTTGAGCACTACTTGCACTTATTTACACTACTTATGCTGTTTTACTGTTTTTTTTTTGTTTTTTTTTGCATGAAAGGTTGTTCAGAAAACAACTACAACTTCAACTACAGTACTGTTTAACATAACCATTCTTCTGGAGACTATAAATGCAGAGTTTTATTTTTTTATTTTTTGATGTTTTTGTTCCCTTAGTTTAATCTTATTGAAATTAAAGTTACCTAATGAAAGGCAGCTACTAGTTTGACATTATTTGCACTTTCACACTTTTGTATTTGATATCTGCAACTGAGATTTTTGTAAAATGTTTGTTATATTTAAAAAGGTATATTTTATGTTTATATGTTTAAATGTTTATGCATTTTAATGCATGTGTGATATTCTAAAAAAGTTTCCTGGAGTAAAATGCACTATAGTGCATCTGATGCTCTCATCTGTTAAGGAATCTCATAGAAATAAAAGTATTCAAGTAAAATGTATGTCTGTTATTTTGTTGACCACCATTTAAATACATCAACAACATCAAATAATATTTAAAGTAAAGGTTACTCAAAATTTTAAATAAGATAACTAGGATTATTGTGTAAAAAAAAAAAACATTTATAAGCATTACTTAAGTAAAATATATAAACAAACAGTCAATACAGTTTACTGGGAAATTCCAAGTAAACTTTACTTGAGATTTTCTAATTAAAGCTACAGTTCCTTGTGTTTAGTTTTTACTTGGGAATTCTATTGAAATTACTCACATTTTCTAAGTGAAAAAACTTTCCTAACTTTTTTTAAGTAAATCCTACTCCAAATTTTTTTCAGTGAGGGAGGGATTGACCCTCCTTATTAAGGCATCATTAAGATTGTCAAAACAAGATGTATGGGAGTGTCAGTTAATAATTAAAATAATAGATATCCATTTGACCACCCCTATAATGGTTCATGCCATTGTGAATGCATAACCGTACGCTCACACCGAAAGCGGCGAGAGCGTCAAAGTAGCCGGAAGTCATTCATTTTCAATGAGAGCCGGCGGCGATAGGCGGCAATAAGCGGCGAGGAGCAGCGCGGCGCGTCTTCGCCGGCGTGAGCGTCGAGGAGAGTTGAAATTAAGTCAAATTTATGGTAATGAGCTATGACGCGGTTCGGCGGCAAGCAATCAGAATAAAGACGTCCATCGCTTGATAGCAGTTCAGAGAACACAGACCAGTGAACTTTGGTTCCGACCACAGTTGTTCCCAAGGGTTTGATTATTTCCGTTGCCGGATTTCCAATTATTTAAAAAATTTTCCTACAGGAACATACATTTAAAAAGTTACTGGCGAGTTACTGATGTTCATTAATGATATATAAATTTATCTTAAAAAAGCGGGAATCTCACGCGATGTGACAGTACAAAACAGTACTGCTGCTTCAGGATATTTCAGACATATGGACACATATTGGATAAATAGAGCAAAGTCACACCACACGCAACTTGATCTTCCATTGTTGTATGAATTTGATAAGAAGTGCGCAACATTTTCACGCTAGAAACATGTTTTATGCAGGAATGTAACTGATATGCTGCAACGGCTCCTTTAAATATGAGATCAATGTTGTGAGTTTTGACGCTCTCGCCGCAGGAGCTGAAGGCAGACAGCGTTGTTGCCAGGGCGGCCAGAGCGACCTTGGACGCTCTCGCCGCTTTCGGTGTGAACGTACGGTAATCGCACCAATCAGACCATGTGAGAAAAAGGTCATTTATTTGATAAAAAAATACAGTAAACCGGTCATATTTTAAAATTTTATTGCTATTTAAATTAAATGTTTTATATGTGGCCTTGGATCACAAAAAGTGTCAGTGTCAGCTTTTTTTTTTTTTAAATTGAGATTTATCTATCACCCAAAAGGCTGAATAAATAAGCTTTGCATTGATTTGTTTGGTTGGATAAAACTGTTCAAAACTGAAATCTGAGATTTAAAAAAAAAAAAAAAAAAATAATAATAAAATACTGAAAAAAAGCAGCTTTAATGTTGTTCTAAATTATGTTCTTAACAAAGCATATTACTAATCAAAAACGTTTTTACAGTATATAATATAATCAAGACGTTTTTATACATTTACAATAGGAAATTTACAAATTTTTTTTATGGATCTTTACTTTCTACTCTAATGATTTTGGCACAATTTTTGACTCTTATAACATACCTTTGTCTGTTGCCAGAAATATTCCAGTGCAATTATTTTCCTAAAACATTTTTTTACGATTATTTTGTAAAAATAGTTGAATTTTATGCATCATTAGGGCCAGACAGAATCTTCACACAATTTGTTTGCTATTTCTGTGCAGGATTTTGTAAAGAATCTGTTTTTTTGCGGAACGATTTTGACAGTATCATAACTAAACACTTAGTATATATAAAAAAATAATAATACATTTTTAACTTTTATTTAATGTTTACAATGCAAATCCAATTAGATCCACTTATTTGGTTACATATCTACTAAAAGACAGAATAAATAACTTTACAAACTGTATTAAACATAAATCATTTGAACATTTTCATATTAATCAAAATATTACTGATATCAATTTAAAAACTGAGTAAATATAAATTAACAGAGATTTGCACAAGTAAATAAATAGACTCAATGATGGGCTAAAAATCTACAGATTTCTGTGCATGCAGATTCAATGTGGGCCTAATCATTACCCAAGTCTTCAGTTTCACTTAATCCTTCAGAAATATTTCTAATATGCTTCTCTTTTACTTAAGAAACAAAACAAAAAAACAATAAATTTTTTTTATCAAAAAATGAAAATAGTGGCTTGATTTAAATCGTAAATTAAACGTTTTAGTATTTTTTAAAATTGTGATCTATTTTCAAGGGGCTCTTCCAATGAAAATTCAAAAAAAAAAAAAAAAAAAACATCATGTTTTGTAACCTAAAATTGTAAATGCTGGTATTTTCAATCAATGCAATGCGTACTGTACATGTTAAAAAAGGATTCATTATTGAACCCAAATTTTTTCAGAAATACATCACATCAGAAGGCAAGTGTAATGTAATGTACTGTATAATGGTATCATAGACATCTGTTTTATACTCCTAAATGCTGATGCAATGTGTGGTGGTTCTTCTTTTAGGAGGTCCAGGAGGTGATACCAGGCGTGGGCCACAGAAGATCCGGGGATGACCCAGGAAGTGGGGAGAGCAGTGGTGAATGTGATGATGAGGATGGATGTGAAGGCTCTGGAGAGTCTGTGGAGTCTCCCTGTGAGTTTACACACAAAACTGCATTTATCTGCTCTTTGCTGGTTTGATGAGGCTCTTTATAACAAGATGGTCTTTCTTATGAAACTGTTTGACTATTATCTGCTGGATAGTAATGTTAATCAGCCTGGTTGTGATACCAGCATCAAAAATATAAGATTTATCACAGTTGCCATGTTTCCTGAAGGATGCTTGTTTCTTTATTGAGAAGAACCTATTTAGGTTTGTTTGGTTGGTTAGAATAATTTAGTTAATCCCTGCTGGTATTGATTTAGGGTGTACTGATTTAGGCTATCCAAACAGTTTGGTTTGGTTTAGAGTGGGGTTCGGATGGGCTCAAATGTGGTACGCTTGAAATGTGAGTACAAAGTGCTCGGTAAATGTAGCTTGTGTGGACGCTACTTAACTAAAATAAAAACAGCTTTGCTAAGCTATTTGATTTAGAAACGCTATAGCCACGCTACTGTGAAATGTAGTGAAATTGTACAGCCTTGTTTCAGTGACTTCAAAATTTTAGTTTTTCACTAACCACGCATAAACGTTTCTTTCTCAAAAACACAAACACATACATACATGCTGCTTAGGTATTATTGTAGCCTGACTTGTCCTGTTTACGGTGTTATCACACTTTAACCATTTATATGTTTTTAAGATACTGAAAACAACACAAATGTCAGTGCATGTCAAAACTTCTCCAGAGCCCCAAAACACCCTCAGACCCCAGAAGGTTAAACTAGTAGCGTCAGTACTTGTAGCGACGCCACTGCCCAACACTGGCACCAGATGTCTTAAACAGTGTATATACTGTATAGTAGTACAGGTAATTAGTGATGTGTGTAATCAAGGTGAACTTGAAACTGGTGTGTGAATGCAAGGTATGATGGGGTTTGTAGTCTGGTAGATACAGGGAGCACAAGGGCAACACTGCTGGTGATCACGACATTACTAACTTTAACAGGCATCATAACATCATGGGTTATCATTATTATTTTAATTGCTTATTACTATTTCTCAGAGTTGTGTCAGTATATTATTTAATAAAAGATGTGGGCTAAATTTCTTTTTAAATTTAAATAATATTCTTTAATCTGCTAAAATGTATTTGTATTCGATTTTACTGTACAGTATAATCACTTTTCAAGATGTTTAAAAGCATGAAATATACTTTATTTTCTTTTTATATGCTGGCTTTTTTTTTTTTATAGCAGATCGCAGTATAAGGTAGTCCTTTGTAATTGATTTGTGACTCTAAGCATTTTGATGGTGCTATAATCAATCAGCGAATCCCGAGAGGTTATTTTCCTTCAACTTCACAGGGATTAGTCACATGCAATTTACTCAGATCTGTCTGTGAAAGATGAAAGATTTCAAATTGCATGCATTTATCCTTCTGAATTTGCTGAGAAACAGCCATTGAGATGAATGGCAAGGCTGAAGGCTATTTTTATCCAAGCCTTACAGACCTCCATGTTAACCTTTCACATCCAGGATGTGTTAGGATTGGTGATGTTAGCGTTAGCAGTTCCATGGAAAATAATTGCCCGTCCAAAACAAGCATTCTAGACCTCACAAACGGCGTCACATCATGTCATCCGTATACTCAGGTGCAGAAATGACCACAGAGACCACCCAGGGCGACAGAGAGAGATCGTATGACCTCCTCTGACAGTCTCTAACGCAGGTGCTGAGGTGGTACCTGCCGTTCCATCATCGCTAAAATGCCCACTAAATGGCCTCTCTTTTCTGCTCGAAGCCGTAACGCATGACCCACGGATCCATGTCTTCTCCACAGACCTCGTTTAAAGAGCATTTCTCAATCACTTTGAAACCCAATCTTCACTCATCACTGCAATCACCCCGCTGGGCCCTCCAGTAGCCATCTTGCTCCCTCGCACCCAATTCACCCAATCTGCGGTTAGCGCTCCAGGGTGCCACACATCAAAAACACAGGGTACAGAAAAAAGGCTGAAAAACATTCCTGGGTAGAAAGATACAAGGTCAACGCGAGCAGGAGTATTTTTGGGGAGAGGAGATATGAAGAATGATGTTCATCCATCATGCCGCATTTCTCCAAAGGCCTCTCTTTAAAACTTCTGACATATTGATCGCATCTCTCAGACAGTTAGACCAGCTGTTATGACAGTTTACTTATAAGATTTGTAGTTCAAACACGTCCTGTTTCAGACTTTTTGTTTTAAATGTCAAAAGGAGCAAAATAAAAAAATATATATAAGCAGTGTTTTCCTGTAAATCTCAATAAGCTAGGTTAACTCAAACTGTTTGAGGAAACAGATTGCAGCAGTTTAAGTTTTTAAGCCAAATGGTTTGAGTATAGTAAACATATTTATTGAGTCATATACACTTATATTATTTGAGTTGATATCATGTCAAACATTTAGAGTATTAATAAATTTATTTTAACAATCTAGGTACAAAGTCTAGCGGAAAAGCATTTATGGTGTGTCCGAATACACTTTTGCCTCAGCGCATGGTCTAACAGGGTTGTACTTATTCTCTTAATGTGTTGTGGGTGTGTTTTGAGTGTAACGTGCATTAAACCAATCAGAGTCTCATCTTCTATTCCCTTTAAGAGTCAGTTTAGTCGCGTCACGGCGCATTTGCTTTTTACATGTTGGATATTGTAAGTGGAAAAACTGAATGCTTTACTAGTGAGAAAACAGTTAAACAGACCATCCGCAGAGCAAGGATAAAGAATCAGCCTCATCCATTCACCCTCTTTACTTTCTCTTTACTTTACTTTTACACTTTACTCCTTTACTTTAAGTCAGGGCTTAATTTGTGCCGGAACACGCCGGACCCGGACCCAACACCCCTGAAATCTGCTCTGGCACCTCATTTTACCGATCCCCCTCCTCACCCGCCCTTCTCCCCTGTTCGCTGTTCACTTTCACTTTGTTCCGCGACTCCACAACCCTTTTCACTTTTGTCCGCGACAACCAACCCCCGCCCCAGCTTTTAACTTACGTCTGCGACACACCTCCGCTATCCAACATCAAACACGTCTTGTGCCTTATTGCGCCGGGTGTATGATATGGCGGTTAAGTTCAACAATCAAATCTGTATAAGTTTAGTTAACTGAAATGAATTAAGTCCAAACAACTACAAAGATACTCAAATGGTTTTAGGACACTGATTGCAGTAAATGGTTTGAGTTGAGTGAACTTAAATGAATAAAGCTAGTCAGCTTAAATGGTTTGCCGCAAACGATTTCCTCAAACCATTTAAGTAGCTTAAGAGTTGTTTAGACTTAATTCGGTCTATTACCTCTATACAAATAAATTTGAATGAAGCCAAAAGCTAACATGTGTAAACAAGAAATGACTAAATAAATAAATAAGAAATAGGTATTTTCAAGAAAAATGTATTGAATTAAAGTATATATTTCAGTGAAGTACAAAAAAATGTATATGGTTGATCATTAGATACATTTCCATACTCCTATTTTTATGTGCATGCAATCACATTAAATAAATTCCTGATGAAAGCACCCAGATGTGCATACATTTTGAAAATGCACATGAAATCACATCGACACAACTATAAGATAATGTTTTTTATCCGATTAAAAAATATTTATCAGCTACAATGGAAACACATTTACCAAATAAATTCAGTTCAAAATCCGCACATCAAAAAACACCATGTGATTTTGTTTTAACAGACTTCAATTTTTACAACCAATTTGCATCATTTATTTTATGACAGATCTAGTAGGCGATGGGACGACAATGGGTCGACCACATTGAACAACATCTAAAATGTTGTTTTGGTCATTCTAAAATACCTCAGCCAAAGTCCATCATCAAAGTCGTTTTGTATTATTACCTCCCAGAAACTGACTTGCCCTCCCAAAGAATGGCTTTGGGCCTTCAAAAACCAGTTATGATGGCATTATCATCCTCTTCTGACACCCTACTAATTTTTTTAATGAAAAATAGGCCTACAGTGCCTTCTTCTAATTCTTTTTTGTATTTGGTGGCCATTCCTCAGTTTTTGACTCAGTAGACGGAAACAGTATTTTATTCGCAAATGTTTTATGCAATATTCCAGTTTTGCGCACACATTTGATTAGCATATTTAAGTAGAAACATAGCTACTTATGTTCATAATAAAACACTGTAAATTTTTTTTTTTTTTTTTTTTGGTCAAACCAAAAGTTGCGGTAGCATCATCCTGCTTTCCTTAACAACATTCTAATTTGTTTTTTTGATTTTATAAAAAAAAAACAAAAAAAAAAACATATAAACTATAAACACCACTCAGTCAATTTATCCGTGACACCTGTGGCTGACCATGTGCCTCAAGGATTGACCTTTACTCACATCATAGAGCGACTGTGACGAGATCAGTCGTGTCGACAGCTCAAGCCATATAATATAATTCTTAGCTGTCACCAGAATGTTGCTGCAAACCTTTAGCTCCAAACATCCCACAGATCCCACCATGCTGTAGAATGCCATATTTTGAGTGAAAGCAAAATCACATAGTTTTAAGTGTCTTCCTAAATGCAAATGAGCGTTGATATAGCTTCGTGGGCAGTGCCCTGATATTGTGCTTTGCACACTGGGCTTTAAAAAAAAAGGTTAAGTAATTTGAAAGTTACCAAATATCCTACACATTACCTGCACTTTATCATTTGAACATACATTGATTCTGATTAAAGTTATTATAATTGATCAGTGAAGAGAGTGATTAAATAACAGGGATAGATTGAATGCACAGATTTAAAATGACAAGCATTCAGTTACTTCAGTTTAAAAAAAAACATACAGTAAGATGAAAATTTTTATATATTACATGTATTACACCTAAATCCCAAATAACATAGTTCTCAAACTGGATTCCCAGAAGGCCACAGCCTTCTACATAGTTTTGCACCAACACTAATCAAACACAGCTGATCCAAATAATCAAGGTGTTCAAGATTACAAGAGACTATTAAGAAGGTGTGAGTCGGAAGGGGTTGGAGCTGAGCTCTGCAG